TTTTTGGCCAGGGCTGGGTTTGAACCTGCCACCTCCAGCATATGGGGCCAGTGCCCTACTCCTTTGCGCCACTGGCACTACCTTAATTACTCTACTTTTATAAGAAATAGAGTCTGTGTCACTCAGGCTGGTCTCCAAATTTGAGCTGAAAACAAGTGCCTGCCACATTTTCCCAGAGTGCTAGGATTACAAGGGTGAGCCATCCCACCAGTCCTGGGAAGAAAAATTTAAATGATTTATTCTCTTTTCTAGCTGCATATACATCATCTTTCTGCATATAACTTGTCAGGAAACTGGAGATGACACTTAATAATCTAACTCAGGTGTCTTCGAACTACGGCCTGCCTAGGACATTTATCCGGCCCACTGAGTATTTTTGCCACCACTGCCTGTCCTGCTTAGCAGCTGACTTGTTCTGGGGCCTGCAGTCCAGCCCTCCAACTGTCTGAGGGACAGTGAACTGGCCCCCTGTATAAAAAGTTTGAGGATCCCTGATCTAATTGGTCAAATACAAATGACAGGCTTGGTGCCAAAGGCTCAAGTGGCTAAGGTGCCAATCACGTACACCTAAGGTGGTCGGTTCAATCCAGCCCGGGCCCAGCAAACAATGTAGGCTGCAACTGCAACCAAAAAATAGCCGGGCATTGTGGTGGGCGCCTGTGGTCCCAGCTACTACTCTGGAGGCTGAGGCGGGAGACTCGCTTGAGCCCAGGAGTTGGAGGTTGCTGTGAGTTGTGATGCCAGAGCACTTTACCCAGGGGGACAGCTGGAGGCTCTGACTAAAAAAAAAAACAAAAAAAAAAAAAAAACAAATGACACCTGAAAATCTGGAGAGATGTTAGGCACACAACTTTATCTCTTTTTTTTGTGAGACAGAGTCTCACTATGTCACCCTCGGTAGAGTGCAGTGGCATCACAACTCACAGCAACCTCAAAGTCTTGGGCTTAAGCAATTTTCTTGTCTCAGCCTCTCAAGTAGCTGGGACTATATAGGTGCCCGCCACAATGCCCAGCTATCTTTTTGTTGTAGTTATCATTGTTGTTTGGCAGGCCTAGGCCAGGTTCGAACTCATCGGCCACAGTGTACATGGCCAGCACCCTAGCCACTGAGTTAACAGGTACTGAGCCATATACTATTTTTTTTTTGAGACAGAGCCTCAAGCTATCCCCCTGGGTAGAGTGCTATGGCATCACAGTTCACAGCAAACTCCAACTCCTGGGCTCAAGCGAGTCTCCTGCCTCTGCCTCCCAAGTAGCTAGGACCACAGGCGCCCACCACATAGCCCGGCTGTTTTTTTGGTCGCAGCCATCTTTGTTGTTTGGCCGGCCTGGGCTGGATTCGAACCTACCACCTTAGGTGTATGTGGCTGGCGCCTTAGCCACTTGAGCCACAGGCGCCGAGCCTGAGCCATATACTTTTATCTCTTTAAGAAAAAAACACACCTGCAGCACCCATACTCAGTGGGTAGGGAGCCAGCCACATACACCAAGGCTGGCGTGTTCTTACCCAGTCAGGGCCAGCTAAAGCATCTATGGCAACTGCAACAACTACAACAGAAAATAGCCAGTCTTAGTGGCTGGTGCCTGTAGTCCCAGCTACTTGGGAGGCTGAGGCAAGAGAATTGCTTAACCCCAATAGTTTGATATTGCTGTGAGCTGTGACACCTGGGCACTCTACCCAGGGTGACAGTTTCAGACTGTCTCAAAACAAAAAACATAACACAGCTTTTGTAGATATTGAATGGGGTGAAGATACCTCTAAGTGAAATACTGACTGCCAGAGTTGTCTAGAAAGTACCATAAAAAAGAACTCTTGATACAGAATGACTTCCAGAGCCAGTGTATACAGATCCTATTGAATCAATGGAAAAAGCAGCAGGTTCTAGCTGGGTGCTGTGGCTCACACCTGTAATAACACTCTAGGAGGCCAAGACAGTGGACTGCTTGAGCTCACAAGTTTGAGACTAGCCTGAGTCAGAGACCTCCTCTCTAAAAATAGCCATTTTGGTGGGTGCCTGTTGTCCCAGCTACGCGGGAGGCTGAGGAAAGAGGATCACCTGAGTTGAAGAGTTTGAGGTTGCTTATGATGCCATCGAACTCTACCAAAAGGGACAGAGTAAGACTCTGTCTCAAGGGAAAAAAAGCAATCCTGAGAGCTTGAAATTAAAGTATTTTTCGGCCTGGTGAGGTGGTTCAGAGGGGGGCAGACTGCCTGAGTTCACATCTTTGAGACCAGCCTGAGCCAGAGAAGACCCAGCCTCTAAGAATAGCCAGGTGTTGTGGCCAGTACCTGTAGTTCTGGCTACTTGGGAGGCCTAGGCAAGAGAATTGCATGACCTTAAGAGTTTGAGGTTGCTGTAAGCTGTGGCACTCTACCATGGGTGAAAAAGTGAGACTGTCTCAAAAAAATAAACCTTTGGTTCGGTGCCTATAGCTCAGCAGCTAGGGTGCCAGCCACATAAACCGGAGCTGGCAGGTTTGAATCCAGCCCAAGCTAAAAAATAGCTGGGAGTTGTGGCAGGCACCTGTAGTCGCGACTACTTGGGAGGATGAGGCAAGAGAATCGCTTGACCCCAAGAGTTTGAGGTTGCTTTGAGCTGTTACGCCATGGCACTCTACCCAGGGCAACATAGTAAGATTCTGTTTCAAAAAAGAACCTTAGGGCTCGGCACCTGTACCTCAAGCAGCTGAGGCGCCAGCCACATACACCAGAGATGCCAGGTTCCAATCCAGCCCAGGTCTGCTAAACAACAACAACTTCAACCAAAAAATAGGCGGGCCTTGTGGCGGGTGCCTATAGTCCCAGCTACTTGGGAGGCTGAGGCAAGAGAATCACTTAAGCCCAGGAGTTGGAGATTGCTGTAATGCCACAGCACTCTACCCAGGGCGACAGATTGAGACTGTCTCAAAAAAAAAAAAAAAACCTTAGAGTTACCTTCCCTATTTCAGGGAAGGCATCTAACTTGTTTTTTGTTGTTTATTTGCTTGTAGGCTTTGGCTGGGGCCAGGTTTGAACCTGCCACCCCTGGTATAAGGGTCGAGTGCCCTACTCCTTGAGCCACAGGCGCCACCCAGGCACCTACATCCTAAAGTACACAATATTAGATCAAAAAAGTAGAAAGAGACTCGGCGCCTGTGACTCAAGCGACTAAGGAGCCAGCCACATACACCTGAGCTGACGGATTCAAATCCAGCCCCGCTTGCCAAACATCAATGATGGATGCAACCAAAAAATAGCCAGGCCTTGTGGCGGGCGCCTGTAGTCCCAGCTACTTGGGAGAAGGAGGCCAGAGACTAGCTTGAGCCCAGGAGTTGGAGGTTGCTGTGAGCTGTGATGCCGCGGCACTCTGCCCAGGGGGATAGGTTGAGGCTCTGTCTCAAAAAAAAAAAAAAAAGTAGAAAGAGACCCTAAAAATCAAGGGAATGTTGGGCAATCAGAACTACTATATGGGCTCGGCGCCTATAGCTCAACCGGCTAAGGCACCAGCCACGTACACCTAAGGTGGTGGGTTCGAATCCCCAGC